TTATATTACTGAAAAGGAAGGACTTCTCTCTCTTTGCTGTTTTCTATATTATAATGTCTTTTGTGGGGCTGGGGTTGTAGCTCAGTGATAGAGCACTTGCCCAGCACATGTGAGGCACTGGGTTTGATCCCCAGCACCACATAAAACTAAATAAACAAAATAAAGGTATTGTGTCCATCTACAACTAAAAAGTGAATAAATGCCTTTTCTGGTCCTTCATTCCCTGTATTACTGTCTTCTTTTAGACATAATTTTTTGGTAGTGAAATATTTGAATTTCTTTTCTACTTCCTTTTGTGCATAACTGTTTTCTCTATGATTATGATGGAGATTACATTAAACATCATAACAAGGTAATACTCTAATTTGAATTCATACCAGCTTAATTTTCATACAAACAATTGCTCCTTACAAGACCATCCCCACCTCACTCCTTTCCCTTGTCACAAAATTACAGCTTTATATACTGTGTGCCCAAAACCTACACTAATATTTGCTTGAAGGCATTAGTATATTAAACAATGTATAAAACAAAACATGAAGTTACAAACTGTGAATAATAATAATAATAATAATAATAATAGCTATCAGACTAACAACTCTGATTTTCAAATATATTAGAGTTCTGGAAATAACCCAGTGTACCAGAACCGGCCACCCAAAACAAAAGGTGCTATGACTGAAGAACCAGGTGGGCAAATCCAGGATCATACAAAATGCAACTTATTAGGGACTCAGGCAGAAGCAAGATACCCCAGGACAGGAGGAAGGGGCTTATATGCTAACCTAGCCAACCAGAATACACCTGGGCTTTCTCAGAAACTATTAACACAGCAATTGTCAGAGACAGTCCAGGCCTTAATTCCTGGTACAATATATGGTCTTATTATCTTATTTATCCTACAGGTTTTGGAATGTATGCCAGGAGCACCCGATAGGCAAGACAGTGGTTATCACCAAGATGGCTGTAGTCATGTCAAATTGGATCCTGACAATTAGCATCATAAATCATGTTATTTCCATGATTACAATAATACTAGCTTTTATAATTACCCAGGTATTTACCTTTATTGAAATCTTTATCTCTTCCTATGGTTTCAAGTTACTGTGTTGTAATATTTCATTTCTCTTTGCTGGGCTCCATTGAACATTTCTTGCAAGCCAGGTATAATAGTAATGACTTTTATCTTCCTAGATAAAGAAAAAAATTTAACCCTCAATTTTGAAAAACAGTTTTGCCTGCATATAAAGATACATTATGGCAGCGAGCATGTGGCAGAGGAACTCTGTTCTCTTCATGGCAGCTGGGAAGGAAAGAGTGAAAGGGGTTAGGGTCCCAATATCTCCTCTAAGGGCATACCCCTAGTGACATAACTTCCTTCCACTAGGCCCCACTTCATAAAAGTTGCATCATCTCCCCAAAGTGCTACAGGACAGTGACCAAACTTTCAACACATGTCCTTTGAGAGACAATTAAGATCTAAAATGTAGCACTGGATCATTGACTATTGGCCACCATTGATTTATCTTGAGAAATCTGATAATCTTGTGGAGGATGGATCCCTTATATGTAACAAGTCACCTCTCTTGTTGCTAACAGGATTCTATTTTTTACTTTGAAAATTTGATTATAATGCATTGTAATGTGGGTCTCTGAGTTCATCTTACTTGAATTTCACTGAGCTTTTTGAATGTTTATATTCACATATTCCATCACATTTGGGATGTAGCTTAGTGATAAAATGTTCCTTGGTTCAATTCCCAGAACTACTGAAGTTGAAAAACACAATAGCAAAAATGAATTACATATTAGCACCAACATCAAAATGATGAAGCACAAGAAAGTCAAAGAACTTGAAGATGGGCTACTTGAAAACACAAGAGAATAAAAAAGAGAATGAGAATGAGTGAAGAATACTTATAGGATCTGTGGGACATGATCAAAAAATAAATCTATATATATGTCATTGGTATCAAAGAGAGGCTTGAGAATGACAAAGTGGTAGAATGTTTATTTTAAAGATTAACAGAAAACTTTCCAAACCTGTAGAAAGATACAAATATCAAATATCTAGTATAGGAAGGCCAAAGTTCACCAATCAGATTCAACCCAATAAGACTATCCCAAAATAAAAAAATTTTGATACATTAAAAACAAAAAGTCGGGAATAAAAACCTACTGATAGAGAAAACCACTTAACCATAAAGGAGGACAAATAAAGGAACAAAAAGATCTACAAAATAACTAGTAAACAGGGAGTAATATAATAGTATCAAATATTATCTATCAATAATTATTTTGAATGAAAATCAATCTACCATTAGTCTTAGAACTTTTCCAGCCTCTCTGCCCATTACCTATTTCCAAAGCCTAGCTTCTGCATTTTTAGGCACTTGTAACAGCAATACCCTAGTTCTGATTACCAAAACCTTTGTTAGTCTGTTTGAGATGCCATAGCAAAGTCTTATACACTATACGACTTAAATAACAGATAAGTATTTTCTTACAGTTCTGGAGGTTGTGAAGTCCACAATCAAGGTGCTAGTAGATTCAGTTCCTGGTGAGGGCTTTCTTCTTGGCTTGTAGATGCCCATCTTCTTTTGTTCTCATGTGGCCTTTCCTTGGTGTGTGAGCATGCAAAGTGAGATGTCCCTTAGAAGGTCACTATCTTCATGCAGAAGATCACCATCCATTTTAGATCAAGATCAATTCTTTATGTCTTTATTCAACCTTGGTTACATTTTAAAAGGCCTATCTCCAAATACAGCCACACTGCAGGTTAGGGCAGGAATGTGGGGAAGCAATCAACCACAGACTCTCCATGCATCCCTTACATACATACTAGTTTAATGCTATTCACCAGTAAACAGAAGTGGGATTACTTTCTTAGGAATAGATAAGTTCAGGACAGCAATAAATTGGAAAGTATCATCTTGAATTTGAACAAACACAAAGTTTAAATGTAGAATAAGGAAAATTCAGAAAGGATAAAGGGACAAATGAAAATGGAAACAAATGGTGAAGTTTCATATTTTTGAGCACCAAACTATAGTAAAAACAAAGACAATAATGAACACAAACAGCATCAGTTTTATTGGCTTTTAGGGTTCATATAAAATTCAAAGAAAAATGTTAATATATGATAAAAAATGTGGCTATAATTAAAAAATAAGGGAAACACAACAAGGATACATTTCACTCATTCATTTGTCATTTATTCAAGAGGGACTTCAAAAATTAAATGCCAAGAAATTTAATGGCTATTTTGTTTCTACCATCAATTTTATGTCTATATACAGTTTATATAGCTCATTGCTTTCATTTCCTTAAATTGGAAAGGAAAAACACATACACAAAGGAATACATGACAAGTAGTCCTAGAGTACTATGCCCAAGAAAATTAAGCAGCCTGGATATTAACTCAGAATGACCACGAAGAATAAAATCCAAGAGTAAATCAGTAGTGGTGGTCACACAGTAATTCAATAAATAGTGTTCACTCTTTTCAAAGATACAAAGTAGAAAATTACCCTAATACCAAAGTTAACATCACAGACTCATTTTCTTACTGTGTAGGACATAAACTAGCCACCAACTACATGTACAAAAACATGTATAAAATACTCATAAAGAAATACTTACAGAAAACATAGCTTAACATATCCAATGAGAAAGTTATTACTACTGGTGATCATGTGAAACTTTGAAAAGCACCCAAGTTCTGGGAAACATGTCAATTTAAAATCTAATGAATAATGGTGACATAAAGTTATCTAAACATAATGGTTAAATTTTCTTCTAAAAAAATCTAAAAACCAGTGACTTATGATCTCATTTGATTGCATAACTTTGTCAATTGTCAAACAGACAATTTGGGGCATTTAAGATTACTAAAATAGGGCTGGAATTCTACTTATAGCTCAGTGGTAGTGTACTTGCCCAGCATGTGTGAGGCACTGGGTTCAAACCTCAGTACTAAATAAAAAGTAAGTAAATAAAATAAAGGTATTGTGTCCCTTTACAACTAAAAATATTTTTTTAAGAAAGACCTTAAAAAAAGAAAGGTAAACTATTTAACTCATTTGCTTATTTGTTGGTGCTGGAATTTGAATCCAGGGCCTCACGCATGCTAAGTATGAGCTCTACCTCTGATCTACTCCCCTAGCCCCAAAGAGAGTCTACTGATTATTGAACTCTGGTAATTCTGAGAGGAAATAAAAAGAAAGGATCTACACAAAAACAATTGAAACCATGGTAATATATACTTGTAAACCTTAATTTAAGTTCAGTGATCAGATTATAGACACTCCAATAGTTAAGGGTGCTAAACAAGTTTAAAAGACTAGTTTAGAGCTAGGCATGGTGGCACACACCTGTAATCTCAGCGACTCGAGAGACTGAGGCAGGAGGATGGAGAGTTCAAAGCCAGCCTCCACAAAAGCAAGGTGCTAAGCAACTCAGTTGAGACAATGTCTCTAAATAAAATACAAAATAGGGCTGGGGATATGGTCAAATGCCTAAGTTCAATTCCCAGTACTCACCCCCCCAAAAAAGAAAAAAACGCTGGTTTAGTAATTTTCATCAAATATATCAAGATGTTCCTTTCACTTTAATCCTGGCTGGTACCACCTAGAGATAAAAGGCTCCTTAACAGAATTGTTTTATGATAGATATTTAAAGGAATCTGTTGTGTCAAAACAAAATAGAAATTTAAAAATAAATCAAACAACTGATGAAAATGGAGAGGTGGTTATACATCTATAAATAAAAAGCAATAGAAACCAAAAGAAAATTTAACAAGGCAGGGTCGTAAGACTTTAAAACTATGTTTTATTTAACTGGGAGCTCTAACTGTGTAGATGAAGAAAAATATATCAGATAGAGAAGCAAAGAATTATAATACAAAAAGGATATTTTATTAATATTACAAATGATAAAATTGACAAAACAATGAAAACATAAACACCAAAAGCTATTAAGAGAAAATATATAGACAAGAAATTCACAAAATTAACTGAAACCACTAATTATTAGATGAACATGTATTCCACAAATTTCAGAAATGGATGAAGACACCATCATGAGTCAATAGAGAATGAGAATGTTAATATAAAAACAGAAATTTTTGGCAGTATTTACAAAATTATAAAGGTATACATGTCACCAATGATTGAAAAATTCCTTTTTGGAACACAGAATGACCATGAAGTCTGGGAACAGACTGTAAAAGGAGAGGGATATGAATCATCCTTGATTATATTTTATATCCTCAAATTTTTTTCCAGTCAAAATCACAAGGAAAAGGCCCTCACACACTCATTTCATTCAAATAAATACTCATTTCATTAAAAAATAGTAGAAATTTTTCAAGTAATATTCTCACCCACACTAAAGGCATTCCTGCATTCCTTACATTCATAGGGTTTCTCAGCACTATGAACTCTCTGATGTTTTGTAAAAGATGAACTATGTCTAAAGGCCTTCCCACATGCCTTGCATTCATAAGGTTTCTCTCCAGTATGAATTCTCTGATGTTCAGTAAGGGCTGAACTATGTCTAAAGGCCTTCCCACAGATCTTACATTCATAGGGTTTCTCACCACTGTGAATTCTCTGATGTTGAATAAGGGCTGAAGTAAGTCTGAAGAACTTACCACACTCCTTACATTCATAAGGTTTCTGACCACTGTGAATTCGCTCATGTCGGGTAAGTTCACTGCCTACTCCAAAAGCTTTCTCACATTCTTTACATTTATAGGGTTTCTCACCAGTATGGATTCTCTGATGCCTAGTCAGGGATGAACTATTTCTGAAGACCTTTCCACATGACTTACATTCATAGGGTTTCTTACCTGTATGAATTCTCTGATGTCGAGCAAGTTCTCTACAGACTCCAAAAGCCTTCCCACATTCCTTGCATGCATAAGGTTTCTCACCAGTGTGAATTCTCTGATGTTCAACGAGTTGTGAACTAATTCTAAAAACCTTCTCACAGTGGACACATTTGTATGGTTTCTCACCAGTATGAATTCTCTGATGTTCAGTAAGCTGTGAATGAAATCTAAAGTCCTTGCCACATTTCATACATTTGTAAGGTTTCTCATCAGTATGAATTTTCTGATGTCGAGTAAGTTGTGCAAGCACCCTAAAGGATTTCCCACAGAATGTACATTCATAGGGCTTCTCACCATCATGAATTCTTTGAATGGGAGTAATTTCTCCAACACTTCTAAAGATCCTCCCATATTCCTTACACTTATAGAACGTCCCAATGCTATAAATTTTTTGGTAAAGACTAAGATCTTCATAGAAACTAAGTTTATTCCCATGTTCCATATATTTACAAGGCTTCACTCCAGTATGAATATTCAATTGTAGTATATGTGAATTATCCATCCCAGAGTTTTTCCGGCATCCATTACATTCATAGGTTTTCTCATCAGTATGTATTATTCTCTGATAGTGATCAAAGTTTGAGTCACAACTGAACACTTTCCCACATTCCTTATATTCATAGGGCTTCGCACCACCATGCATTCTCTGAGGTAATGTAAGATATTTATAATTCTTATAATTGGGCTGTTTGTCAGAGATGATTTTCATCTTACTGAAACATCTCCATCCAGGTCGTTTTACTTCAATCTTGTTTTTGCTTTGCCAGTCATTTCTGAAAATGGAGCTTTTGAAGTCAATGAGATTGCTATTTTCCATTACTTCCAACTGAGAACCACTGTTTTCAAAAACATCCTTTCTTACAGATAAAATCTCTGTCTCACACCTAGACTCCAAATCTGAAAAAAAAGGGAAAAAACAATTTTTCCCCCGTCACAATAATAGAACTCATAGAAAACTTAAGAAACAAACAATATAATTCACAGTACAAATGAATATTTAGCTGGGCTTGGTGGTAGATGCCTGTAATCCTAGTGATTAAGGAGCTGAAGCAGAAGGATCACAGTTCAAAGCCAGCCTTAGCAACTTCGCAAGGTCCTAAGCAACTTAATAAGATCCTGTCTCAAAATAAAAAATGAAAGAGGCTGAGGATGTATCTCAGTGGTAAAGCACACTTGGATTCAATTCTTGGTACCAAAAAAACTAACAAAATAAATAAGTAAATAGTTAAAGTACTGTTATAAAATCTGCAGAAAGAGAATTCAAACAGTGCTAACAGTGTAATATAACATTGTGAGATTTCTGATAAGGAAACATATTAAGTCAGTGGATCTGAAATGTAGATGTTGATCATCTTTGTAAGCTTGTTGTAAGTACTGATGTTGAGGAACCAATCTAGATAAAGTGAATCAAAAAATATATATGTAGAATCCATAATTACCATCTTATAGAGCTACTGTTTATAAACATAAAAATTTGACAATATACACATATCAACAATTTTATCATTAACAATTTACCATGGATAAAAAGGTGCTGGTCATAAGACCTCATTTTACTCAACTTCCTTCCTTTCTTTTAATCTCTTTTCACCTCCTAGATAAAAACACATTTCTTACCATTTACACCAACTCAAAGGACATTTTATCTCTCACAAATAATCTCTTTGTATTCCAGTTCCTTTTCATCACCTCAGGTCTAAAAGTTAACTACCTTAAGATAGCTGAACCTAAAGTAAATTAATTTTTATATCTTCATTCAAATATCTGGTTCATTGCCTTCATATTTTTCTTTTTCTATTTTTAAAATTTTTTTAAAAAATATTTAAGTTATAGTTGGACACAATACCTTTATTTTTTTATGTGGTGCTGAGGATCGAACCCAGGCCCTCACACGTGCTAGGCGAGCCCTCAACCGCTCAGCCACAACCCCAGCCCCCTTTAATTTTTTTTTAAATATTTATTTTTTAGTTTTCGGCGGATACAACATCTTTATTGTATTTTTATGTGGTGCTGAGGATTGAACCCTGCGTCCCGTGCATGCCAGGAGAGCGTGCTACCGCTGGAGCCACATCCCTAGCCCCTTTTATTTTTTTTTAGTTTTAGGGGGACACAGTATCTTTATTTTATTTTTACGTGGTGCTGAGAATTGAACCCAGTGCCTCACACATGCTAGGCGAGTGCGCTACCACTTGAGCCACATCCCCAGCCGCGCCCTCATATTTTTCAATTGTGTGTTCAATAGTTGTTTACTTTTATTATGCCATTAATTTCTCCATTCCTTAAACTGCACAAGGACAAATGTCTTAATTTTTTAATGTGCCAATGAATAATAGGCCCCAAGGATATAGTATATGACAATTAATTACAGGAAAAGTAAATCACTGGATGAAAGCAATTTAAATAAAGTATACATACAAATGTATGTCAAATGGAAAATGGCACATTATCAAATTAATTACATAGATTTGTACGCTTCTCCACCTACACGTCTTTACCAGTATTACTCATCCTCCTACACAGAGCCTTGATTGCTTTTTTTCATCTCACATGTCAACCAATACTTCTCATTGGTAACATTTTCACTATTACTCATCTATCCTTGTGAAATCTTTTTTTCCTTCATGATCTTTCCCAAATACTCATTTCCATTTTCCGATACCCAAAGTCAGCCACTTCTGTACTACCCCCAAAAGTATCACAATATTTCAGATATACAAATAAGAATATACCATATTGTTAAATTTATGCAATTCTGAGTAAAGTCTTGTGATTGAAAAGGAGAATATGGTGCGGGGCTGTGGCACAGTGGTGTAGTACTTGCCTAGCATGTGTGAGGCACTGGGTTCAAACTTTAGCACCACAAAAATAAACAAAATAAAGATGTTGCGTCCATCTACAAATAAAAAATATATTTAAAAAAAAATAAAAGGAGAATATGATGAAAGAGTCACATGGAGAAGGTGGATTAGGTGGGCAAGATTTTAAGACATTTTGTTACAAAATATTTTTTCAGACACTCAAGTTTGGCAATGAGATAAAGCTTAAGGAAAACTGAAAGATCAAGAATAATTTCCTATAAGTGAATTATGTTATGTGTAACAATAAAAAATAATGCTAGTATCATAATTTAATGAAAGCAGTAAACCAGTACCAGTATCAATAAACCAAAAACATTTAGAAATAAAATTCTCTATTAACTATAAGTCAATGTGGAAGTGTAACTGAAATAAAAAATATTTCCTGAGAACCATGATGTTGAAATCTTTATAAACTATAATTTATGAAAATTATATTGGTCACATAAAAAGTAAAGATTTAAATGGTATTATAAAGAAATGAATGAAAATGACCAATGTATACATGCCACTCATAAAAATAGAAAAAAGATTTACCTGAGGAAAATATGAAAGAGGAAATTAATAAACAGAATAAGAATGTGATAAAAACATAAAAACAGAATTAACAAATATACAAAATAAAATGTAAAAGGAACCACCATAGATTGCATTTTATGAAAGTCTTATAATACCCCACCCCATACCAATAAAGTTGAAAAATGTAGAATGATGAATTAATTTCTAGGTAATTAGATATTTAAAACTAACCCCAAAAGCTACAAAAGTTGAAAACCATTAATTTGCTAGAAAGAGAAAAAATTTTTCAGAACCTTAACTCCCATGAACAAAAAATCATAACCATGCCTACTGTCCTGGATGTAACAATAAATAAGGTAATGAAGCAGGGATCCTACAATAAAGATCTGAATTATGATCTGGAGTAAGGTCAGTATAAGATATGCCTTGAATTGTTGTATCAGAAAATAGAAAAGTTTAATACTTAAGGATGATGTCAACAGGACACAGAAATCACCTGAGGGAGTTAAAGTAGACTACGATTTTAAAAGTACAAGAGTCAAAAGAGGGAGAAAAAAGCTTGTGTACTAAAACACGTTAAACACAACAAAAGGCTAGAAAACACACTTGTAACTAATTTAGGTGGATGGTCTGAGACTGGGAGAGTACTGGGATAGCCAGATAACCTGTGTCAAAAAGCAAGAAATTTAAAGATTAAAGAAGCAAGGGATGGGATTGTGGCTCAGTAGCAGAGTGCTAGCCTTGCCATGTATAAGGCATGGCTTCAATCCTCAGCACCGTATAAAAATTTATAAATAGGGCTGCGGTTGTGGCTTAGCGGTAGAGCACTTGCCTCACATGTGCAAAGCCTCAGCACCACATAAAAATAAATAAATAAATAAAAAGGTATTGTATCCAACCACAACTAAAAAATAAACATTTTTTTAAATTAATAAATAAAATAAAGGTATGTGTACATCTACAACTTAAAAAATTATTTTATAAAAGAATAAAGTTAAAGTTCACAGAAATCACCATGAGGAATTATCCAAACTTCAAATAACTGTATATAAAAAATTAAAAACTGGCTGGGTGCAGTGCAGTGGTGCATTCCAGACTCAGGAAGCTGAGACAAGAAGGATCACAAGTTTCAGACTAGCCTCAGCAACTTAGGAAGACCCTAAGCAATTGACTGAGACCCTGTCTTAAAATAAAAAAGAAAAATGGTGCGAATGTAGCTCAGTGGTAAAGCACCCCTGGGTTAAATCCCCAGTGCCAAAAAACAAAAACAAGGGGCTAAGGTTATAGCTCAGTGGTAGAGTGCTTGCTTAACGTGTGAAGCACTGAGTTCTAGTTTCAGCAACACATAAAAATAAATAAAGTAAAGGTATTGTTTCCATCTTAAAAAATAAAAAAATACTAAGAAATAAAATACTAAATAAAAAAATAAAACAAAAAACTGGAGTCTAAAGTATACTGAACCAATGAAAATCATTAAATTCATAATGAAAAGTCAGAAAATTTAAAGTGCACCATTTGAGATCATTAATTAGATAAAATAATATAAAAGATATGGTGTTTCTGCCTCCTGCCTTTCCTATTAGAATTACATTTCAAGTTTATCAACAAAGCATGAGGGCTACTGATAGGATTGCAAATTGGTGTAACCACTCTGGAAAGCAGTATGGAAATTCCTCAGAAAACCTGGAATGGAACTACCATTACCCAGTTGTCCCACTCCTTGGTATATACCCAAAGGACTTAAAATCAATATACTACAGTGATACACGCACATGGATGTTTATAGCAGATTAAAACAGCTAAGCTATGGAACCAACAGATGCCCTTCAAGAGATGAATGGATAAAGAAAATGGAGTATAAATACACAATGGAATATTACTCGGCCATAAAAAAGAATGACTATGTAACTTTTGGCAGTAAACGGATGGATCTAAAGATATCATGTTAAGTGATATAAGCCATTCCCCCAAAACTAAAGGTTGGATGTTCTCTGATAGGCAGATGCTAACACAAAACAATCGGGCAGGGAATAGAAGTTCACTGGCTTAGACAAAGAGGAATGCAGAGAAGGGAGTGAGAATGGAAATAGAAAAGACAGAAGAATGAATCAGACATAACTTTCCTATGTTCACATATGAATATACCACCAGTGAAACTCCACATCATGTACAACCATAAGAATGAGATCCTAATTAGAATTAAGTTATACTCCATGTATGTAAAATATGTTAGAATATGCTCTACTATCATGTATATCTAAAAAGAGCAAATAAAAAATTTAGGCAAAATAATGACATTTTTATAGATAGACTGAATTAAAAAAAATGTATTTCCAGCCTACCCGCACTACAAAAACTAATACTTAAGGAAGTTTTTCAAGCTGGCGGGACATTATCCTAGATAGAAGACTGGATATTTATGATAGATTAAAAAAACAAAGAAAAGAGTAAAAAATTAAAAACAACAAAAAACAAAACAAAAAACATGAGGGCAACCAATATATGAAAAGAAATGATAAATTTAGAAACTTGCTGACTTAAAATATTAGGTAAATCACTGACAAGAAACTGTATGTCCATAGATTAAAACCAAAGAGAACCTGTTTGATTTACAATATCTGGATTAGCTATTCCCCAGCATCCTCTAACCCTTTATTCTTACACTTATCGCTATATACATTCTCTACTTGTTTGTTTTCTTATACATCTTAACTAGTAGTATGTCATTTTGGTTTGGGTCACCATTATAAAAAGGGATAGCTTAATAGCTGTCTTCAGTGTAGGCATCAAAAAAGTATGTGAATATCTATATTTTGTGTCAATATAGACATATATAAATCTATAACAGTATACAGAATAGCTAGCTGTATCCAGCAGAATCTTAATTGGCTTCCCCCAAGTGTCAGACCTTTGTATATAGGGTTTTTAAAAAGAGTTTGCCAGTATCACAGGGCCTTACTTCCTCTGCTTCATAGGCTATCACTCACCTGGCCCTATCTTCCTGTCACATCCTTGCAAATCCTTTAGAGAACATCCTTTCTCCAATAAGTTAGAACATAATTGGCTTATAAATGCAAAACTCGGCTTACAATGAGGCAATGTAACAATGTATGTTTAAAACAAATTGTAATTAGTTCTATATATATATATATATATATATATATATATATATATGT